TAGGAAGAAAATTAACTCTATCCCGGCCGAAACCAGGACACTAGCAAAGATGTCTACACTAAAAGACAGAATATTCAAGTTCTATGGCATCTGCAGAAACCACAAACTCTCCTTCATCAGGATGCTTGGCAGAGACCCCACGCGTCTTCCTTCCCTTGGAGCACCCCCTCACCTCTCTCTCTGTGTGGCTTTTGACTTACTCTGTACTGAAATAGTTTGGGATCGTGTCTCGTAAGACAAACACAGGTTATAGCCTATGTTAAATGCCACTGCAAGTAGTCTCCAGAACACTTGTTTGCACTGGGCTGTCTCCCTGCCAGGAGACAGACCCACTGACAGGATTTGGTCCCAGTCCTACTGAGCGCTCCCCACCTCAGCAACCCAGTCAGTTCTGACAAGAGGGTTACAACATGGATAAACAGATGCAGAGAGTCCTCTGCCCTGGCGAATGTGGCTGCCTGCAGTAAAGGGGCAGATCCGACACGTAGTGTAAACCAGCATCCTTATTCTGACTAGAAGCATTTCTATGGGTCCCAGCAACAGAAAGAACAAGCAGAAATGAGCTCCTGGCCTCAGGAACTGCTGCCACGGGCCAGGTACCAGCAGTAGAAGACACCCAACTTGTATACACATCAAGGTCTCCAAGAAGGATGCGGCAGCAGTCTCCACAAGCCCAGAAAGGGAGGCTGGAGTGGCACATGATGGGAACACAGGATTTAACAGAAATTGTAGCTATGGGGTAGAGCACAAGAAATTAAGCCTGTTTAGTTTGCAAAGAGAAGGTTTAGGAGGAATAGAGCAAACACTCTCCAATATGTAAAATGAGGTGAGAAAGAGAACAGTGAGTAATATTTCTCTGGCTCCCCAGGGATGGGGCAAGAAATACTCAGCTTAATTTAAGACAAAGAAGATTTACACTGGAAAAGAGGAAATACTTTTAAACCCATGGGTTGCAAAGCAGTGGAGTAGATCACCTGGGGCCAGTGTGGAGCTGTTTTCACTTAAAGACAGCTTCAGGTTTCAAGAGGAGCTTAGACACAAACTTTGGTCAAGAGCGGTCTAGATGGACTTAGATCTGCTTTAACACAAACTGGGGAGAGGAGTGGGCATGACAACAACACACAAAATGACTCTGATATTTCTACAAATCTCTGCCCAGCATTTCTTCTGCTGTGAAAAAGCAGGCAGCTCTGAGCCAACCAGCTTAAAAGGTAAGAATAGCTCAAATAGGAGTTAAATCAAGTTATCTCCAGCACCAGGGCACAGCACAGGGAGCCAGAGCTCATCTTCCTTTTGGGGTTGGAAGACCAGACAGTGACACAGGGAGGTGTCAGCCTGTAACAAGAATAAACTTCAGAAGCTTCCTGCAGCCTGGTTGAGCTGCTCCATCCACGAGGCTACACCCCAGGACTCCTGGTGCTCGTGGTGCAGCAGGCATCCCAGGCCTGGCTGCCAGCCTGGAAGCTACCAGAATTCTCTAGAATGGCTTATAAAAGGGTCCAAAACCAGCCTCAGAAAGTAAGCTCAGAGCTTTAACATTCATTCTGCAAGGAAGTAAAGGCAGAGCACATGTCATCTCTTGCTTCTGTATGGAGCATGCTGGAGCACACTAGTGCCAGAAGAGCTTTTAAAATTTTCTCCCTATTAGCAGCTTGGATTGCACTTAACCCACAGACTTTGAAGAAATGGGAAATGCACAAAATGCTGACATCACCTGGAAAACAATGAGCAAATGAAAGAATGGATGAAGCAGTGACATTAACCACATGAGGAAAACATCGTTCAGTTCTAGTTTTGTGTCATTATAGCTGGACATGTGCCACACTCAGTTGCAACAGTACAGACACTCCTATTTCATAGCAAGTCCCATCAATTAAACCTGTTTCCAATCAACAAGCAGCTCTTAAGAAATTTGTACAATGGCAGGAAGGTTTACACTGACTACTACATCTAATTAAAAGTCAAATTAGTGTAATTTCCCCTGCGGAAATCAATCCCTAATCAGACTATTTTGAGACTCTGCTGAAACCTATCCAACTGCAAAGACAGTGAATGTTTTGGAAAGATGCTGAATCTCTTTCCACACATTCCTCCAGCTGCAACGCTAGGGTCCAAAAGCTCACATCCAAACCATTCATTCTATCAAAGCAGCACAGACCTCAAATGACATCCCTGAGGGTTCAAAGGAAAAGAAATGAAAAGTGTTAGAAAACTTCCTAACTTCCTTCCCTTAGCCCGTCAAAGGCAGCACAACAGGCCAGAAAACCCAGTTGATAAAACACTCTGCACATCACCTTCCACCACAATATGGCTGCAAGTATCGCAGGCCTTTGAAAGCTTCTTTGAAAAGGGAATGGGAGAAGAAAGGAGATTTTTCTTTGGGATTAGCAAGAAAGAGCAGCACTGAGGCAAAGCCAGAGAAGTGAAGCAGTGCATTAGCAAAGCACGTCAAAGGAGTGAGAACAAGATTTCTAAGCATAAAGGAGCCAAGAGAATGGCTTGGGGAAGTTTCTGCTCACCCACTTAATGGGAGCACAGAGAAATGAAAAGGCAGCTGAAAATGAAAATGACTCCTGCGTGTCATTCCCCACCAAGAAGGATTTGCTTTAATGCAATCACACAGATAGAGATAAGAAAACCAGGCAGAATCCGGAAAGAATTATTTGCAAACAGATCCTGTTCAGGAAGACCTGATGGAACCAGCATGAATTTGGAAACATACTGGAAACCTGTAGTTCACCACCAGCCCTGCTCCTTTGGCGGAGCCCGTGAAGAAAACTGCAGCAACTTCACTCAGCCCCCTCCATGAAATCCTGCAAACCTCAGCAGTTAAACACAATGCATTGGGTTAGGGGGATATTATCCAGCATCAGACCAGCAATGGAAGGCTAAGTAAAGACTCAGAAGCCTCGCAAAAAGGAAGCCAAGTACCTCGTTTGAAGAGGATATGGGGAGGACAGGGCAGACTAGGACTTTTTTGATGAGTTGTTCAAACAATTAATAAAGCCGTCAGTTACTGTGCACCTAGAGGAAAACAGCATGGAGGATGGAAGGCCAGCTGGGTTTGCTGAAGACAAATCATAACATATCAGGTTGATTTCCCGCTGTGTTGAGGGAACAGCTTAATGGAATGCAGAGGATTTTCTGTAGCTGTGAGTAAAGAACATTTAACAGGGTCCCAATTCTCAGGGCATCTAGAGAAATGTGGATTAAACAGATTCACAACTGGGTCAAATCAGCACATTTAGACAGTAATTATTCCGGCTTTCATATGCTCTTGAGGAGAGGGTCCCAGGGGTACCTGGATGGGCAATTTTCAGAAGGCAGTTGAGGAGGGACTGGTTATGCTAAACAGAATCTTAAATGATACAAAATAGGGATTTTTTTTTTTGGGGGGGGGAGTGGGGGGAGGTAGTCAGGCCAGGAAGAAAATAGTTTTAGCTGGAGTGTTTTGTAGCTGTGATGATCTTAGGACTGAAAATGTCATTTTAATCAATTGGCATGATCAGCCTGAGCTTCTGCCAGGCCAAGTGGAAAGTGGGGCATGCAGGAAGCAGAGCAGTCACGTGGCCAAGAGGCTGGGGAAGGAGATGCTGGCTGAGGAGGGCAGGAGCCCTCGGGACAGAACAGATGACAACAGGAACATGAATGCGTCTTATTTCCAGGGTACAGTAATAGAAGTCCGTGTCATATGAAGGCTATGGCCAAATTTCTTTGCATGTATTCCAGATATAGTAGCGAACAGCAGGCCAGAGAAACAAAAACAGGCACAAAACAGCACAGAAAAATGGCATGAAAGTGACTGCAAGTGTTTTTGCCCATATCCTACCCAATGGCAGTGCTGGAATGACCAAAAAAAAAAAAACCCCATTAAAAAGCATTCTGTAGAAGGAAGCAAAACAAATTCAGGCATGCTTGCTCTGGAGCAGAGTAGACAGAGGGAGGCATAACATTCCCAAACTCATGCAGACTCGTGACGGAGTGGGCAGGCATCAATTACTCATCAATCAGCAAGGACAAAGCTGGGAGAGAGAATCAGTTCTCAAACTGGTGGAGAAAGCTACCAGAGTTCGAGATCTCTCCCTTCGCTGAAGCTGTAACGATTCAAAAGTGAGGAAAACCAGGCTCCCCTCAGATACCAGCCACTACAAAAACATTGCCTTCCTGGTGATGAGGCCATCAGACAAGAAAATGTTGCATCAGGGCTCTCTGGAGCAGGGTGAGCAAGCTGGCTTGCTGAGGAATATAACTACCAACCCAGATTATTTGGACTCAGTTTCGTCTTTGCTATATTATCTTTGTGGGGCTTCCTACCATCAGTCTTCTCCTCTGGCAGAAGGAGACGTTTCTAGGGAACGCTTTTGCTTCCTTTGCTTGGGAACCCTATTTTGTGAGTGATGGAGGAAAGCAACGAGCAGGCACATGTTTCACCAGCATCACATATTCTGCTCAGTCCCATACTCTGTGGTCCCTTAACAACAGCAAAAACGCTACATTGCTCTGCATGATAAACCCAAGGTGGGAGCAGTCAGCTTCTCCACCACACACATTTACCACCACAAAGCACAATGGATCCCCATGGCAGAAGGGACAGAGACTGACTGACTGGTTGCTGGCCTGAGCAGTCTGGAGGTTCCTCTCCTCCCCAGCCACATATTGCAGGGCAGGGAGCTCCAGGGAGCTTTCCTATCAGTGGAGACATGCAGTGTCTGTTCAGATCCTATCCCTGCTCCATCTCTGGAGGCAACCCAGTGGAGTAAAAGGGCCACTCAGCTATACCCCAAATGCCACTGCCTAGGCCATAAGCAAAAGCTTTGGAAAAGGGTTGTTGATTCTGCAGACTCAAGGCAGCTTACCAGCTCTTTGAAGAAGGCAGCCTCTTTATGCTGCTCTGAGTAGCGCTCGTACTGGTCCAGTCCGTCCTGCAGTTTCAGGGTCAGTGTGTCGTAGTTGGACCGTACCACTTCCAAAACCTGCCAGAGACAGCCAAATACAGCAGAGGAGTCAGCATCCACAGATGCCTCAGCATAGGAGGAGCAAGGCTGAGACAGATCACAGCTCTGGCACCTGTTTTTACAACATACATGGCTTTAACAGCCCATGTTTGGCTTATGACTAACACAGAGTCTTCCTAATGCCAGTAAGGAACAGCCCTCAAATTTACAGAATTTCTTCATTCATGGGAAGAGTGGATGAACCTGTGACAGCAGCAGTTTTCCAAATACTACTATGTGACCAGGAGAAGTAGACATGATCTCATTAAATTAAGCAGCTAATTACCATGTGTGCACCCAAATGTGAGACAGTAGGCACTATGCAAACACAGGTTTGCCCGACCCCATGGTCCTCCCAAGCTAGTTTTGCCAGCACACCTCCCTCCTGGCTTGCTAATCGCCATTCACACTCCGCTGAACTGCCAGCTTCTACAGCTGCTCAGGTCAGCTTCCATACAGAGCATTGCACATCTCTCCTGATGGGAGCAAACTTCTGACAGGCGCTAAGAGAAGACCAACTCTGGTACGGACTCTGGTTTTGGAAACAGCTGGAGACAAGAATCCAGGTCTTCCTGCCCAGGAGATATTTTATTATCTGCCTTCCCTGCAACCAAAGCACTCCAGCTTATATTACTACCTTACTCTGCTCCCAGCACTGGGCTATACCTGTAAATTCATAGTTACATGTATCTGTCCTATTGAACTATTAATTTTCCTAACTAGGGAACACCAAGAGGGACTCCCACAATGCTTTTTAGCTTCAAAGCACTGCACGGACAAACACATTCCTCAAAGCACTTGTGAGATGGTAAGTAACAATAACCTTCCTAACAGGAACCATATAGCTCAGCACTCCTGGGCAAAACATATGCTTGAAACAATTCTCTTAAACACATTAACTTCTTTCTTAGGCTGTTACCACTTGATCTGAGAGCTAAACAGAAGCACAGACAGACTATCAGCATCTGAGGTTTCCATTACAGTAGCCTCTGCTCATGAAAAGCTACAGCCAGGAGGACTACATAGTATAAGGTGCAAAGGAAGAGGACTCTACCCCAATACCCCAATACCTTCACAATTCAGGAGATGGGTTAAAAAAAATCATTGAAAAGGGTGTAGGACAACAGTGACCAGAACAGTAAGGAACCCTTCTACTTCTCCTCTTGTCCTAACAAGGTAAACACTACAATTGCTCTTTCAGGCAGCTGTCAGCTCCTGCCCTTTAGAGGACTGAATCATGCCCTTGTACCCTTTACTTGAGGAATCCTAGACTTGCTTAGGGCTCCCTTCAAAAACTTCTTTCCCTGTCTTGTTTCCCCCCAAACTTTGCATGTGGCAGTGGTACACAGAGACACTCATGCAAACACTTAGAAGCAGGCTAGGCCCTGAAATGGCCAAAGCCACAGGGCATCATCCGAATGAGGACTGAGGGTAAAAAATGGGTCCTAAAAGTGGTTCCCAGCTGAGATGGTCACACAGCAGAGTCTCTTTGCAGCTCAGCCATCCCCCAGCTCTGCAGAGGCAAGCTAGGGGTAGCAATCAGTATTTTGCAAGGTTATTTAAGAACAGCCTGTCAGCGTTCTGCTGCTGCAAAAGCATGCAGCCTCCTCTTCAGGACTCATTTTCTAATGCTGCTGTCAGCTCCACTGGCAGAGAGGAAGAACCCCTTGCAATGACAGCCGTCTCCAAATTCAGCCTGGCCCTCTTGTTCCTGTGTGCAGAAGCTGTGAGAAGTATCACAGAGACAAGAGCAACGATGAAAGCAAGCCACCTGGGTACAGGAATAATTCAGTCTGGGATGCAACTATCCACTAGGGATGGAGAGTAGTAGTATAATGCACCTTCTTCTGAGCAATAAAGAATCTAGCAGCTTGCATGAATCAGAGGGCTCTCCTCCTGTCAATCTGAGGAAGCCAAGTTGACCAAGATTAACAAACTGCAGGAGAGAAACCCTTTTTGAAAGGTGAGGAGTAGAACATGCTTCTCCAGCAGTAACTCAGAGGGGAGGCATTTTACCCAGGGCTACCCCACTCCCCAGGGGCCCTCCCTTGGGCCCCTCTTCACTCCCCTGTGCGCCCATGCGCACAGCCATGTGCAGTGCCATATGGATGTGCCCAGACAATGGATGTACACACTTCTCCATGAAGCAGCAGCATTCCTCCTTGCTAGCTCTGAGTGGAGATCTCTTCAGATACTCAACAGGGTCATTCTCAAACCACTGTGAGGAGGAGTAAACTCCGAGGGCAGCAGCAAGCTCTGAAAGCAGTATCCTTTAAATCAGCCCTCCTGTGTCACCTTTGAAAGGCAGCTAAGAACTCAGTTTGATACTCTAGGAGGGGGACAGGGAAGCAACAAGAGGTCCCGAAGTCTCTACTGTGTTTCCCACTACTTATTGTAATCTCTGCAGTGAACTTGAGATCAGCTTATGCCTTTAGCTATGTATTTTCATTGGCTTCCACTCCTCATCTCCTTTAATTATGAAATAGAACTTAAAAAGAAAGGGTAAGTTAAAAATAAACAGCTGCTTCTCACTGCCTGATCATTTCCCTTTCTTGCTGCTGCTGAGAAAAAATGCTACGTGGGATCTGAGATAAACCCACTCACAGATCATTTCACTTCATACCCTGTAATGGATAGGAACTGTTACTGGGATTAGGACCTGCCATACTTGAAACAATTTCATCTGCTCTTTAAGATGCAGCTGCTAGACAGAGGAGAGGTTAAAGAGCAGCAGAAGGTATTAAGAGCATCTAACACGAAGGTTTGAAAGACACCAGCTTTCTACACAGATGACAAAAAACTCACATCCCCTGTGTAACAGAAAGATTGCATGCTAGCATCCTTCACCCTTCTTACACACTGCTTTGACTTTTGCTCAGGAAAACTACCACAGGAAGAACGCCCTTTTGCTTAAACACATGAGATCTTTACTGGCACCCTTCTGTCAGATACAAAAGAGCTAGAGGAATTTGATTTTGAGATTAAAGCATTTCTCCTTCAAGGTCTTGTCCAAACTGGTCTTCCTAGAAGACTCAATGGAAGACTAGCAAACATCAATTCCAAGATGGTGAAGTATGAATAACTTAAAAAGGAAGGGATTTTTAGGTGGACTCTCCCACACGGATTTTAAATAGTCATTCAGTTTTTTAAAAATCTCATGAGCAGCTGGAAGAACACTACTTCTAATGTCAGGCAAGGATAGAAGGAAATGGACTGTAGATGATTTCCAAGTAGCTTCTCAGCAAGCAACACAGAAGATAAGATGTGACACTCCTCAGACTGCAAGGATAAACATGCAGAGCAAACTATTTTTTAAAAAAATACTTTACTGGATCTTTACAGTGGAAAAAAATAAATGAAGAGGAGTCACAACCTAAATCTCTTTTTGTAGATTACCTTAGGGGGATCAGAGTCTTAAAAAAGCAATATGACAGAAGTGAGCAACTCAGACACGGCCAATACGGCTGAATTCCTTTCCTGCAGTTACCTGTATCAGCCCTAGAGGCCACATTTGCTCATTTACTCCACTGCAACAAACCAGAAGTCAGTGGAGCTGCACCACTGTAATTTAAAGATAATTTGCCATCAAATTAACCCTCTGCCCCACCACTCACTCACTGACTGCTTTCCAGAAGTTACAGAGAAACATTAGCGATTCAGGTCCCTGCGTACATGTCCCCAGACCAACCTTTCAGAAGCTGCTTTGAGCAGCAAGCACTCCCTGCGGCACTTGGATTTCAGCTTCCTCCTGCAGCTACACCTGCCCATGCCCCATAACTCTCCTTCCCCAGTAACATAACACCGACAACCTGCGAGTAGAGGCACCCCTGGATAACATAGGAGGGTGCTGGCTTACAACAGAGGGGCTGATGTGGGGCTCAGCTCTCCACAGCATCCCAGCCATGCCATGCCATGCCATGCCGCTACAGCCAGAAGAACAAGATTATTTCAGTTTTTGGCTCCTTACTTTACTGCATCCACCAGCTTACCACTCCCTTGTAAACCAGACAGACAATCTCTGAAGGGTCAGTGGACTCTTGCAGACACAAGCTCTGGAACCAGTTCCCCCAGTACCAATTGCCCTTGTCCTGAAATTTTCTGCATTCAAAACAGACTGTGCTTTACTCTACCACACTCTGCACACAAGAGTCCTTCCTTACTGCACCAGAGCTGCTCCCTCTGACTGATCCTCAACAAGAGCTGACTTGCTGCACTCCCCCATGAGAGACTGGACCTTCTGGAAGAGCCTGTCCTGGGGAAACAAGGCGATTACATGCAGCAGTCTCCGATCCCCATCCTGCCCAGGAGAACACGATCACGGTTAGCAGCAAAGCCAGAGAAGGAGCTGCACCGGCAATGAAATTGAACAGGCAACACACAGAACGAGGGCCCATCTATCTGGCAGACACAGTACGCTTCATTGCTTAGTAACTTTTTAACCTGCAGAATCTTTCATCATCTGCAACTGCAGTCTCTGCCTCACTACAACATAAAATTAGAGAGCACCACCAATTCACACCACCCAGCGAAGGACCTAGTGGTGGGTAGGTTCCGAGAAGCATGCGCGAGTAGTGACAGAAAAATAAAGGAAAAACAGAAGCAAGAAGAAAGCAAGGTCTCTACACTGACTTTTTAATTAGCACAGGAAAGGATAAGAATGCAATCAGTCAGCATCACCAGTACCTCACTAAAGCCTGTCCATGCCTGTAAAACAGTCATTAGCTACCATGACACAGAAGCAGTTGGAAGAGAATTGACTGAATGATCTCACATCAAGCAAAAGGCAAAAAAACCCCCAACAAACCCCAGGTGAAAACACATTTGCCCCCCACACCAACTCCATGCGGCTCACAAGGCTGGGACGGGGGGAGGCTCTCCAGATCAGGCCTAGCAAGCCCTCACAGGACGGAAAAGCTGGGTGCTTCTGTCCCAGCTGTCCCAAGGTGGAGGATGGAGCAGCCTGTCTATGGGGCATGTAA